GATGGTGATGGTGGTGATGATGATGATGATGATGATGATGACGATGATGATGTTGATGATGATGATGGTGATGGTGATGGTGATGGTGGTGATGATGATGACGATGATGATGATGATGATGATGATGATGGTGGTGGTGGTGGTGGTGGTGGTGATGATGATGATGATGATGATGATGATGATGATGTTGATGGTGATAATGATGATGATGGTGGTGGTGGTGGTGGTGGTGATGATGATGATGATGATGATGATGATGGTGATGGTGATAATGATGGTGATGGTGATGGTGGTGGTGATGATGATGATGATGATGATGATGATAATGACATTAATAACACTAATGAATAATGGTGATGACAATGCTAATACCAAGAGTTATCTAAAACTAACCTATACTTAAAACGAATAAGGTAAACTTATATAATCACGAAATTAAAGCAAAGCAAAACACTGTCTAAGGAAAGCGGAAGCCTCACGTAGAGCTGGTCCTCATGAAGCTCTCCAGTGTCCCGCCGTTGTTCCTGATGGTGGAGGACCTTTCGAGAAACCCTGCGCTCGATCTCACCAGGGCGGCGGCCTCCGAGGGCGTGACCACCTCCTCCAACGTCACCACGTACGGGTCCAGCGACTGCACCTCCATCCGCAGCGGCCCGATCTTGTAGAGTGGCGAGCCGTTGGTCACGTAGCGGCAGTACAGGCGGGACGTTATGTCAACTGGCTGTTGGTATGATTTGCATTGTTATTAGGACTAGTGATGCCATTATCACGCGTAGGTTGATAATCATCGTAAATGTAATTGATTATAATCATCTCTTATGCGGAGGATGGTGGTAATACTGTTGTTGTTTTTTCCGGATCCAGGGTTTGTGTAACGAATCGTATATGTCTGTTTCTCTATTATTTATTTTGTGTGTGTATATTTCCCTCTTTACTTTTGTTATTTTCTTTGACCCTCTCTTGCGTGTTAGAGTGCGTCTGGGTTACTGTTACTGATACTTACCCTGAGATCCTCGCCACGACACAGACGCAAATACTGCTTCATACCCTGTGCTTCGGCCCCAAGCTTACCCAGGTGAACCTCTTCTTTCTTGTGGTACTTCCTCTTCCTCGCCAGCGTCCTGTTGAGCGGCGAGGCGTGTGTGCTGTGCAGTTTGGAGCGGGAGCCCTTTTTCTCGAGAAGCTGGTCGTGCTGCGCAGAGAGATTACATGGTGTTAATAGTAATGCTATTTTCATTGCGCCCTCCCAGATATTTTATTCTGGCGCGAAAATCTGATAATAAAAGCACATCGACAGAAGTGATAACTGCATCTCCTAAGCACTTTTGTCAAACCTACAATTCTCGTTGCTTTCTTAAAGGTCTTCATAACATCATCAAGATCTACGTGCGCGTCAAAAGCATCTAAGCTCCTGACGAAGGAGGCGTTGCCATCCCAGCGGTCCAGGGCGGCCTTCAGGAAGTCCACGCCAGAGTTCAGGACGTTATGAGATACGGCTGCGGAGCCGATGCGGTGCAGGTCGAGCGCTGAAGGGTAAAAAACATCAACAGGCTCATAAATGGAATATCCAGTGATAACAGTAACAATGACAAAGATAAAAAAATATAATACTGTCATTATCATTAGTAATAATCAAGGCCTAACCACTGGACGAAAAAATAGAGAGGATCGTTAATGCACCAGTGGTTGAATGAACTTTTAGGTCAGTGCCAGATTGTAATAACAGGCGATCCGGCATGACTGGCTGAGCGATCTCGCCGCTTCAACAGATGATTATAGTTAACTTGCGAATTAAGGATAATTTTGTACTATTACATTTTTGAGTTTTGATTTAGAAAGCATCACCAGATTAAGCCACTGCTATTCGTTGAACGATCACGAAACAGTTTCTTTGTTGTTTAGAAAGCAACCTGTGGGCGTGATTCTAGCGGGGACCGGGTGAGCGTCGATCGCCGAGACGAGCTGGGCGTGGGCGAGGGCGGTGAGGTTGAGGCTGTAGTAGTCGTGCAGCCTGGCCAGCCCCCCCGCCACCGTGGCCAGGTCCTCGCCCGTGGGGACGCCGCGGGTTCTCGTGCGGCCCAGCAGAAATTCTGTCCGAAGGAAAGAGATGGCGGGATAGTAAAGGGATACATAGACGCTCTAATAGAGAGATAGGCAACTGAATATTTGAAGATATATCTAGGCACATTAACATAAATCATATTATTTGATAAATATAAACACAACTAAAAAACATTAACGCCTTCCCTTTTATTTTTTCCTTGTTTGATTATATGTCTTCTATGTATATTCCCCTTCCTCCTGAATATTGCCATTTTGACGAAAAAAAATAGTTTTCCATCATACGTCTAATGATCGCTTAACGTGTTTAGCTAATGCAAAAAAAACGGCATAGCCTTTAATAACTCTCGCTTTCTATCCGCTACTAGTCATCGCCACATGGTCTTTGTCACCTTGATAACCATCGAATATATGCACCAACAGACACATCTATCAAATT